TATAATAATCCTTTTGTCTGGAGGGTGTATTGAAGCCATATTGCCTTCTCCTACTAAATTATATGTATGATATTGTTTTTCTAAAGCATATATTTCAAAATTAGGGATTTGAACTCCTTTTTCAGTAAGAATATTTTTAAGCCATACAAAAAATCCTATATTTTTCTTTTCCTGTTTTAAATATTTATTGTATTTAATATGGAACAGATCTATTAATCTTTTTTGAAATGTTTTTAAATACCATTATCAGATTTGTGCATTTTCGTCTGATAAGTAGTCATTACGTAAATATTCTAAGTCTACTTTCTTATTTTCTTGTAGAGTTAAAATTTGAAAGTCTACTTCTGTATCAGAAAAGTGTTGGTTACTACTAACAGGTTTATATTGGGGTTTATAATTAGGAATTTTTATATTGCTCCTAGTTCTTGTTAAACCTTGAATGGTTGGTTCATAAATTTCAGAGGTAAAATAAATTTCAGAGGTAAAATGTCTAGCTGATTCTACATGTTGTTTATTTGGTTTTAGCCCTGAATCATCTTTACTTTTTATACTATCTCTAAATTGAATTTCTATATCTCCATCTAAATGTTCAATTATTTGATTAGGATTATTATTAGTAGGAGTTTTATATTGCTGGTTTTCATTATAAATAGACCATGTTTCTGGTAATACAATTTGGGACCAGTCTATTGACTTTGGTACTATAGTATTAGATTTTCCAATATTTGTTTGAAAAAATATTGTTTTATCTTTAGTATCTCTTTGTAATACATTAGGACATAGGGTATTCATAACTTTATAGCAAATTCGATAAACTATTGCTATATTTTGAGATCCTGGATTCATATCGAATCCTTGGGCTTTATGATTATACTTTAAGAATATTAGGGTCATTAAGTGATACAGAATAATTTGGAAAACAATTAAAATATACTGGACCACTACACAAACTGGACTCTACTATTCCTAGTAATGAATCATTAAACTTATTATGTCTTGTATCTCTTAAACATACTAGAATTGGTATCAGAGCCATAGACATATATACTTCTTTAAATTTTATTCAAAGAACTGTTACTTCACACGGTGAAGCTGAAAGAGGTAGAAATCTAATTAAATTTATCCATTAAAGAAAGTTGGTCCAAGAGTTGAGGCCGTTGCCGCCCAGTCAAAGTGACCGTTAAGACCAGGAGAGCCGCTGTGGTCCAGAAAGACGTAAGAGGTTGATCCGCAACCTAATAATGGAAATTTTCATTAGAAATCTATCTAATAAGGCATTACCCCAGTCAAGTAGCACTTTAAGAATAAAT